CCCATCTGCTGGGGGTGACAGGGGTCCCAGAAAGAGCCCCAGATGCTGTTTTGTATCACCAGTTCTCCTGGCCTGTGCGTGGGTGCTCCCTTCGTATCCTCCTGCTTGTTCATCCTCTGGGCTCAGGAAGTCTCCCAGCCAGCCCTGCCCGGTTGAGTTATGTCACATTGTTTTGTAATTTGCTTATTCATTTATTGACTCTCTGGGAGACTCTTAAGCTCCTTGAAGTCAGAAATACCCTGCTCAGCACGTCTGCCTCGCACATAGTAGGAACTCGGTAAATATGTGTTGCTTTGTATAAATTTCCTATTTCTGGATTAGTTTGGATGAAAGCACTTCAGATTCACCCAACATTCAGTTTTAATAATAAACAGGCTCTCTCATTGGTTTCTAATTCAAGGAAGGGCTTACGTGGCTGTTGCCCAAGTGCAGAATCACAGGGTGATGCTAATAAGGAGAGATGTTTTCACTTCCTTTTACCACGAGTTCACTGGGATAGCATCAACCACCTGAACAGATAGCTCCCATTGACCAAGCATGTCAAAATAACAGAGTGTGGCAGGCTTGCTTGGGGCTTGGCCACACGTCCAGTTGCTTGAAGTTAATGGAATGGTTAGCAGGCTGTATGCTTTGCCAGGCTTTTGTAGCCAGGAAAGATTAAAGGCAGCATTCTCCAAGACTTTGTGAGTGCCCTAGCGTGGAGAGCCATGTCCAAGAAGAAGTGTAGGCTCCACTGTGGTGGACGTACAGCGGTATGTTTAGGGCTAGAGGTGAAGGGGGAGAGTTGGAGGTGTCATGGGAATAGCTCATCTTGGATTCCGTCTGTGAATGCAGTGTACCACGCTGAAGAGAGAGAGAGAACTCAGAGTGCAAAGGAGAGGTACCTGACCAAATAAAAGAGGTAGCTAAGAAGATGCAGCTGCGGGAATGGGGCTTCGAAGAATGTTCTCCAAGTGTCCATGTCCAGTTAAGCCTGTCCTAGAGTAAACAGTAATTTTAGAGGAATGGCCTTAGACTTCACGATTTCTGGACTGTATCACTGGGATAGTTTGGATGGTTAATACCGAGTTCTATTCTTAGCCCTTTGGAGTGAAAGCAGGAGCGCATGTGCTTGGCACCAGTTAGGAATTTTCCACTCATTCCCCATGTAGGGAAGGACTGATCTCACTCTGGGCCAGCAGACGAGGCCTCGCTCATATTTCACCCATCCCACTGTGTCATCGCCCTGGACCTGGCGTAGGCTGGGGAGCGAAGGGGAATGGTGGACAGGATCCTTTCAAAGGGAGTCTTTGGGGCAGCCTTACTTCTGGATGTAGGGTCCTTGCAAGATGGCTGCTGGAATCTGTTGAGCCACGAAGGAGGAGGGATAACTTTTTGAGGCAAGGAGTAGAGGGTGGAAGTTCCCTTTACGTTCACCTCTTGCTTAAGGAGCAGTGTTGCTGCAGTCATGGCTGTTGGCTCATTCCAGTGCAGGGCAGCACTACGTCATTCTGGTTTGGCTTGCAGAAAACAAAAAGTAACTTAATTGATGCAGAGAATTCATAAATTAGAAGAGATGATATCATTTCAAAAACAAGCACTTAAGGAAGAAGGGCTGTCGCTAAACTGCACAGGCTGACCTTAGCGAGCAAGCCAAGCTGAGTTGTGCCAGCATCTTCAGCAGGAATGTATTCAGAGGCCACCAGAAAGGGTTAGGAAAGCCAATAAATAGCTACCCTATCAGAACGTGCAGCCTCACGTAGGCCATACTGGAAATGTACCAACATGCAACCAACAAATTCACACCAAGGACAGATACAAGGAGTTCAGGCCTTAGGGTGGGGTGGGAATGCAGCCAGGGAACTTCTTCATTGAAACAGAGTGATTAGGAGCTGACACTGAAGACATGAAGTCTTCCGGTTAGACATGAAGAGCTTCATAGTAATAAGTACTCAGATGCCATGCGAGGACCAGCACAATATGGATCTTGACGTTGGGCTCATGTAAGCATGGGTAGGAGGGGAGGATCTCAGCGTGTTAGTGTTTGATAAAGAGTGTGGACTCTGGGTTAAAACTCCTGCCTTTGCCATTTCCTGGCCGGTTGTGTGTGGGCCGCTGCTTAGCCGTAGAGCCCCAGTTTCGTCCTCCAAAAAGGGAAATAAAATCTAGGACCCAGCTGACAGTATTGGAAGGAGTAAATGAGATAAAGGGCTTACCTTGTGCTATGCCTGGCATGCAGAAAGTGTTTGGTAAGGATTAGTGTTAATACTGGTGTGGTAACTAACCAGACCTTTCCACAGTTTCGTCACTTTGCTCTACATTTTAGCCTTTAGGTTTGCTGCTTCTCATTGGCAGCTGACCCTTGTAAGCCGTTTCATCACAGTGGTTTGAAACTGGTTGGTTTTATAGCCCGTGCTCACAGAAGGTTGGGAAGACGGTGGGATGGGGCCATCTTCTTCAGTCTTCTCCTCTCTGCTTCCCAAGTGGAGAGGTGCAGGGTCTCTAACCTCACTTGTTTCCTTCCTATTTAATCCCCTTCCGTCTCCTCTCTCTTCCCATCGGCTCCTTTTCCCTTCTTTCACTCTCACTTATATTTCTCCTAAAGCAAAGATAGCTGGGGCAGGCCTGGCCACAGATATCAGCATTAGCTTTTCACCAAAGTGAGTGTTAGTGAAGGTCTTGGTCACAGTCTCGACCGTAATCAGCACTGTCTCCAGCGGAGACCCGTCCTCCTCACTGGACCTTCAAGCCACACCTTCCCAAAATGTCTGATTCTCCTGTCGCTGGAAAGTGTAGCGTGACTTGGTGTGATTCGATGGATCCCTCCACAGGCACTGTTAACATCTGCCCAGGGCTGCAGTCCAGGGTGCCGCTGCCGGGAGCTGTGGGAAAGGTTGACTTGGGTTAGCAGTTAGAGTTCCTTGGTTGTTTTTCTTAAGTTCTGCTTGTTGACTGCCTAACCTCGTCTAAGTCTTTGCAGCTCTCAGCACTCAGAGTGAATACTTCACTAATGCTATTTCTGGACTGATAAGTGCAGTATTTCCATTCTCTGGCTGTGCTTAGGAATTGAGGATACACGAGTGTTCAAACTGATTCTTGATAGTAGAAACAGCTTTTTCACTTGTTTAAGATTATGTCAGGGTAAATACTGAAATTTGCCCTCTCTAGAATACCAAATTTTCTTAACTTGTAAGAAGTTGAATGTCAGCCAGTCATATTATGCTGCTGTTAGACAAGTACCTAATCCCTGTGGTCAGTCTGATGGGAACACTTTCCCTGCTCTGGGCTTCCTGGTCTTTCAATTTAGAGTAAACCAGGGAAGAGCCAGGAAGGTGCATTAAAAACAAACAAACAAAAAAAACCAGAGCATAAGACTGACATGCCAATTCTAACCACATTTAGATACTTAGTGTGGAAAAGCACTTATTATCTACAGACCATACACTGTATAATGTATAATGTAGGATGTTATCCAGTTACAAATAAAATAAAAAGAAACACCGGAGTTACGGTAACAACTAATGCTTGTGTAGGGCTTGCTAAGTGCCAGGCACCATTCTAACTACTTCACGTATGTTAATTCCTTTCCCCCTCAGGACAACCCTGTGCGCTGGGCATGGCATAGAGGCAGCATCGCTTAATGATTAGGAAAATATGCACTCTCAGGTGTGATTGCTAGCTGTCAACTTCAGGGAAGGGAAGGATGCTATGGGCTGGGATGGAAGGAGAGAGCTTCATGAATGAGATGGGGGACCACTGTCCCTCAAAGGATATATTATTGCTACATTGTTCTTAAGAGAACCGTGAGCTAATAAGTGTTGATGCTTGTAACTAAAACAGCTCTCAGTTTGTTATGCAAACAGAATTTTATTTTGGCATTTTGAAATTATGACATTGCTTAGCAAATGCCCTTTGGATAACCTGAGACCCTCCCATCAACCCAAAGTAGCACACATGTTACTTGGGTCTGAACACAGCAGACACAGAAACAAGATTGTGACAACTGCCTGTTCGCATTTGGCACAGTTTCTTTGGAGATGCTGAAGTCCAGGTCAAAGGAGGTTAATAAAGAAAGACCATTCACGAGGCCCTGGTGATATTCATGCTGGATATTTGGTACACATTTTAGCCAAAATTCCCTCTCTGGAAATGTTTGGGAGTACATTCTACAGAATGCCAGAGACTTTCTTTGAAGGTCTATATTTTTGGTATTTCTACTCGAGAATTTATAGAACACATCTTTCCTTATTATTAGCAGTAATAAAATCATAACAGATGTAAATATTTATGGTGACTCAATAACCCAGATTACAAATTCAGAACATCTTCAACTAATTCTCTATTTTGTCATAGAAGGTATTTGATTTGAAAACAGCATAGCAGTTGTTTAGCTACAGATGCCATTCTTTGCAATAAATAATACTTCAAGTGTGAGTTTTCCTCTTTCTCCTTCTGTTGATGCAGAGAGTGGAACGAAAAACTTGGAAACTTTAAGTTTGGGTGTTGATGTTATTACAAAGAGAAATGTTTGGTGTTAAGTTTCTGCTCATTATTCATTAGGTAGCTGACTGTGTATGGACAAAAGGGTAAGTTTAAGGAGACAGTTGGTAAAATAAGCGTTTGCCCCTCAGAGAAATATGGTATGGACGTATTCATGGTCAAAAATCTCGTAATAGTGATAATAATTAAAAATGTATAATAATATATAACAGTAGATTAATGGGTAGGACACAGACATGCAAAGAAGTATTGTAGGACAATATATATGAGTGCCATAGAGAGAAAAGCACAGCCACGGGTATTATTAATCTTATATTGCAAGCCTTGCGATTTGAATGTGATACAAATGAATGAGTCAGACTTGGCTTTGTAAGTTTTTATATGCTTGTATAATGAGAAAATTATCTCCTTAAGGGCTAGACTTATAAATATTTGCTTAATATGATTCATTAATTAAACATGTGAAAGTGCTTATCTAGCATAAAACTAGGGGACTCTCGGTATCCATTTTGTTTTTTCAGAATGAAAGTGCCCTTGTGAAAGAAAAAGAGCTGTCAATCGAACTTGCAAACATCAGGGATGAAGTTGGTAAGTAGGGCATTGAAAATGAGGAACATAAAGAATGTCTTTTCCTGATACCTGTGAATGTGTAACAAGAGCAATTATGCCTCGTATAATAAGCCTGAGCAAACCTGCCCAGGTGAATGAAGCATCTTACCCAGCACAGGGGTGGGTTGTTGTAGCCTTGCAGGGAGCCATAATTTTTACGTCTCTGTTATTATAAAGCCAGCTTTGTAACAGTTCACAGTGGAGCTAATCAGGCCTTGACTCCGCTCTTCCCAGATAGCAACACATACATCCATCTGCGTTGCGTGCTGTTACGAGCACCTCTCCATCTAGGCAGCCCCTGGGCAGGCAGAGCTCCAGAGAAGCAGCTCAGCATTGGTGGATAACATGAGGTGCTTTCTGTAGGATGCAGGTATTCCATGGCTTCCTGCCACCGTATACCCTCCCACGAAATACTCCGTGATATAGAACAAGGTCAAAATCACAAATCTGCATGGCTTAAAAATGCTAGGGTTCGTGTTGAAACTCCCATTCTTTGGTGGATAGGATGGCATAGTTCGGTCTGAACCATAAGAGACCTTACAAATGGTAGGATGATCCCCAGACCCTGGGGATGTCATAAGAGGTGGGCTTTTACTCTAGGCCAAAGATTAGACCAAGTGTTTGCCATCTTCCAATTTCTTGACCCCATTTCTCTCTTGAGGATCTCTTATTCTGTTTTCCCAGGAATCAGTCAGCAAAGGTGAAATAAATGCGACCTATTCCCCTTGGCCTCTCTTCTCTACGTCGGGCATTTCTCCTCTATCCAGTGTGGTCCTGGGGGCAGCCCACCATGTGCAGGTGTGGCTTTTTCCATGAGCAAAGGGATTGAATGGTCCCCGCCATCCTCAGCGGGTGACACCACGCCTTCCCCCCAGGCCAGCCATGCAAGTAGGCGTCCAGCCTGAAGGCCAGACTTTCCCAGGGAACACAGGCCGCAGGGTGTGCAGTGGACACGGTAGTGATTTCCAGACACAGCTTCCCCCACTCTTTTGTTTTATTGTTTTTTACCTTAAAATTTTTTTCTCTTCACTGTGAGTTTTGTGACTTCCTTGTCATTGAGACAGATCAGCAGTGGCCCCTTCTCCCCTCTAAGGCCCCTGTGGGAAAGCAGTAAATAGCAATCCCCACTTCCTAGCCTCACCTGTGTGTGATCGGAGCAGCAAGACCGTGCCACAGCCACAGGGGCTCCTACATTTGACCCGCCCCTGAGGAGGAGCCCATGGGTGAACCCAGATGTGGGGTTTTTTGGTTTTTTTTTTTTTATTTGAGGAAGATTAGCCCTGAGGTAACTACTGCCAATCTCCTCTTTTTGCTGAGGAAGACTGGCCCTGAGCTAACATCCATGCCCACCTTCCCCTACTTTATACATGGGATGCCCACCACAGTATGGCTTTTGCCAAGTGGTGCCATGTCCGCACCAGGCATCTGAACCGGTGAACCCTGGGCCGCCGAGAAGCAGAACTTGCGAACTTAACCGCTGCGCCACCGGGCCGGCCCCTGAGATGTGGGTTTTTCTGAGAGTCCTGCCAGGAGCGACAATGGCAGAGTTTGTGAAGAAAGCTCCTGGGAAGCCAGGGTCCACAGGGCATGCGTTTCCCCATGAAATGGATGAGTTCTTAGATGGTTCTGAAGCTTAGTGGTTGTGAGCGTGGGCTTTGGAGGCAGATGACCCGGGTTCAGGTAGGGTGAGGTGGCTGACCTCTCTGGCCCTCAGGTTCCCCTTCATAAAAAGGAAAGTAGATTGAAGAAGACGGTGAGAGAGCGGTCTGTAAAGGTGACTCTCATAACTGTTGAGCATGCAGCACCTTGAATCTGAAGATAGAGGACAAAATCTTCCACTCTAGGCTGAATTCCTTCCCAGGGAGACATCTGCACCCGCCGTGGGCAAGCTTTGGATCCAGGGGTGTTCGTCCTGACCCAGCTGGGTAGGGTGTGCCAAATCCACTGCTGCTTTCCTGTTCTTTCCCGAAGCTTCTGAATGCAGCAGGAACCACACAAGGATTACTCTGGGTTTTTATATTTGTCTTATTTGATGACTGCATTAGTGCTAAGAATAGAACCAGAAGTCAGCTGCCAACTGAAAAGGCTGGGGGGTGTGGGGGCGGGTGGAAGGCCTTGGCAGCCCCACCACTGGGGCCATTCAGCCCGGCATTCAGCCCCAGCGGACACTTGAACAGGAAGTACCTGAACCACTGAAGAGACTGCGTTTGTGAGAGAAGAAAGACAGGGGAATGTGGATCAACCATTAACTGTAAAGTCCATAAATTCTAGTGTCTTGACCTGCAGTGTATTCCCTTGAAGGGAATGGAGAATTCAGCATGCAAACCTGACTTACAAGGGATCATATAGAGAGATGGTCAATCCTGTGTCCTTACCACCAGCCCTACCCTTATTTAGACCCCTTGTCAGCTGAGTCTGACGGGGGCCACTGGAGGAGGGGACCGTGGGGGCACTGTAGGAGGATGTGGAATTTCTAAAGGTGGTGAATTCAGACATGGAGGAAGGGAAGAAGCTGTAAGAAGTCAGAATAGTTCAGGGGCACTTATTGCAGATCCCAGAACAGAGCTGGCTGGTCCCTCAAATCTAAAAATTCCTGCTTAAACTTTTTCATATCTATTAAAATGCTGCCCTAAATCCTGCCAATATCTGCTCATAAGTACTCATCAGTTGTCTACACCCTTGGTGTGAATAAATTCAAACAAAGGCTTCTAGCATCTAGCCTGAATTAGCTATAGCTGTGGTTCCCAGCCATGGTGCATATTAGAATCACCTGGAATGCTTTTTAAAATCCTGATTCCCAGGGCCTACCCTAGGGCAACAGAATCAAAATATTTGAGGGCGAGGCCTCGGCATTATTTTAATTCCCCAGATGTGTGTTAAGTTCAGTTTGAGAGTCAGTGAACTACGTTGAAGGAGTGGGGATTTTGATTTGGGTCAGGACAAAGGAGGGGCAGTAGGTCATTTTGGCTAGGCCTCAGGGTGGGGGAGGCTCCCATAGTTGAGGCTCTGGGAAGCAGGAGGGGCCTAGGGCAAGAAGCCCCAGTGGGCAGAAAGGGAAGATGCACAAGACATGTTCCACCTGCTTTGAATTTACACACAGGGTCACCTGGCTCCCTCAAACGGGGAGGAATATCCTCCTTCCTACTTCCTCCTTCCTGCACCTTTGCCTGTCGGGCTGGGCTGTCAGTCCTGTGTCAGCTCCCTTCCGGGTTAGATGGGCTTTCGAGGACCAACAGCAGAAAGTAATCCCCTGGTGTGTTTGCTGTCACGTTTCACAATTACAATACATTCCCATTTGTGACTTCTCTGGTGGAGCTACAACAGAATCTTCTAGAAGGTGTGAGGTTTGAATAATGCCCTTTACCATAGATTTTAATATATATTATCCCACACTGACTGAGAACCCCTGATTATGATAGTTCTTAAGTAGGGATTTCTGGCAATTGATTTACAAGTAAACTTTGAGAACATCTCCTAATGAGTGATGTTTTCTGATGCCACTTCCAACATCAGATGTGTGGGAGATTTTTCCACACTAATAACCAATTCTCTGTACCTTCTGGGTATCCAACAATTCAATTCTAACACTAACTTTCCAGAGTTAGCACAGACCTTACAGGTTAAAGGCCAGTCCCATGAGATTGCCCCCACTTCAGATCCCAGTCATAAGTCCCAGGTGCCATCTGTACTTCTGACCAACTGGTTCCCACAGCCCCCTCCCTAGGTTTGATAATCTGCTAGAATGACTCACAGAGCTCTAGAAAACACTTTACTTACATTTGCCAGTTTATTATAAAGGATGCAACTCAAGAATAGCCAGATGAACGAGATGCATAGGGCAAGGTATTTGGAGCTTCCGTGCCCTCTCAGGATGAGCCACTCCCCCAGCACCTTGAGGTATCACCAACCTGGAAGCTCTCTGAGTCTCCTTATTCAAGAGTTTTTATAACCCAAACTCCAGCTTCCCCTCTCCCTGGAGGTTGGTGAGTGGAGCTGAAAATCCCACCCTTTTAACCACCTGGACTTTCCAGCCCCATCCTGAGGCTATCTAGGGGTCCTTGTTAGCATAAACTCAGGTGTGAAGGAAAGGGGCTCACTACGGATAACAGATGACACTCAGGAAATTCCTAAGGCTTTAGGAACTCCAGGGACAAAGACCGATAAATTATTATTATACCACACCAAGCCAAGGTACTGCCCAGTTATGGAGCATGATTCACTCACTTAAAAGGTTCTGAGCACCTTGTACGCAGCAGGCACAGAGTCATAGTACTTCAGAGGTGGTCCCGATCTTAATGACTGTGGCCTATCTACCACATTTTAGAGAGCAGTAAACCGAGACGTGGTCAAAGATCTTGGCTAGAGCTAGGACGCCTGCAAATACCAAGAAGAAAAACTTAGGTCTCCTTAATCTCAGTCCATTCATTCATTCAACAAGTATTTATTGAATGCCTAGTATGTGCCAGGCGCAGGCTAGGCAGGGTCACCATGGATGGTGGAGTATGTTGTACCCTGCATTGGGGTGCCCCTCTGAGTAGGGGCTGAAATGCATCCACACTGCAGCCACTTGCCAAGCCCTGTGCCCCAGCATGGGGCTACTGCCACCCAGAGGAAATGGCACTTTTTTCTAATTTGTACAAGGGTGCCATGTGGGCTGGCTATGTCCTGGTGCTATGTACAAAGGAAAGTGGTGAACAGGACTCCACTCATGTCCTTAAGGAGCTTACAATCAAAGGCTCTGTGGAGGAGGGGCTATCTAAGATGGGCCTGCATAATGACTAAGGTTTGGTTAGATACATGTAAGAAGGGAAAGAGCACAGTTATTGAGCATCTCCTGATGCCTGCTGCCCTCAGGGAATGTACTCTGGACCAATGGATGCCATGACCATTTTCAGGTATTACCCATTCTGCATACCTATGGAAAGAAAAACTGTTTGTTTCCCCATTTCTCTTTCTGTGTAGCAAAAAATCTTTTCACC